CTCTTTTCAATGTTGTGAATCAGAGAGACTATCTCTGAAGATATAACCCTGTTCCTACATATTCAAAAGGCAGCAACTTTCCTGTAAATTCAAGTCATGTGCCATTCAGAGGCTCATTTACGAAATGTAGGGCTTTTTGAAGTCGTGATCTAATGGTGCTCAATTCTTCGACTATGGCGCAGAGTTGATCAATATTCGAAACATTGATCGTACCCTCTAAAGAACACGACACAATCTACTCTACGCTCAAAGTCCATACGGGTATTCATGGCTTCTATGGCACGGACTAAATCAGGGTCACACTCCAAACGAGGGCAAATTGGTTCTCGCCTTGCCAACTTGTCTTTTTGTAAATGGGGCAATTTGTATGAGTTGTCTCCAACAATCTTCAAAGACTCTTCCAAAACCTTTTGAAGGGTAATGAAAGTCTTGTCGAGCACAAGGAAATCGAGTTGGGCAAATGCACCTTGAACAGCGAGGATAAGATCATCAATAGTAATAACAACCTCTCGGTGCTGCAGTGCTTGTATTGAGTTGAAAACCCCCAGATCTAGAACGTTGAAATCGAGGCTCATGGCAGGCTGCGCAACAAGTTGAATCTGCCACCCATCGGAACAACCGGCAGCACACACAGCAGGGTCGTCCACACCAACGTGAGGGCGAGCATTGTCCTGTTGGACAAATATGGTCTTGTCAGGACGGCCGGGCCAAAGACGCTTGATGCTGGGAATGATACTGCAGCAGGAAGTCTCGGTAAACATTCTTGGTCACAGTTATTGGGGTCGTCACGATAGTGCCACGTGCACGATGCTTGCTGGTACGCTGAGCTGATGCATGGGTCACGAATGCTACATTCCAATTTTTCCGTCCCATGTTGTCTTTCTTGCATTGTCATAGCGCGGACGGGCCACCGCCGTCAAAAACATGACTCTCACAATGTTCCGCTTAGAGGAGCATTTGCGCACCGGTACTTCCTCATCGTGCCACAGATAATATCGGCGATTGATCAAAGTCACGTAGAACCACGTCTCATCTATATGGACCCGGTCAAGCATGTCTCCGCCAGTGCACATTCTTTCGTGACTCTCGAAGGAAGAAGCGGGCAAAGACGGCACGGGCAGCCTTGTGTTGATCGGTAAGCATCGGTTTGATGCGGCTTGTCTTTTTCTTCAACTTGTTCGATTTCAATAGACGCCACAGCGTAGTCGTCGGGATGCCACTTGAAGCTGACAAAGACCGGGTCAAGCGGAGATGTGGAGGTACAGTCTTGACGGCAGACTCAAGCTCGTCCAAGGACCGAGTAGGGAGTCTTCCACAACGACCTTGCTTCCTCTTGGCAACGTTAGCCAGACCAGAGAGAGCCTTTGTGTTTTGCCCGCGACGCCAAATCTTCGACAAGGTTTGCCGAGATTTACCGTACTTCTGCAGCAATTCCTTGGCTTTGCCATGCGGCATGCGGCCACCCACTTTCAGCTCCAAACGTTCATGGTACAAACGGACCCGGTCGTCGTTGGGTATGTCGTGCTTGGTCGTAGGACGTGAAATTTGCGTAACTTTGCTTCCATAAATTTTTGTGGGGTTCTGAGGGGTGCAAACCATATCGACGCTTCAAGACGAGTCGTTTGAACTTGATTTGAGCTCGATTGGACTCGAAATGACGAATTACGGGATTTTTCGATTAGCTATGCGTGTCGCCGAATTTTGACGATTGGTTTTGAAGCGCCATACTTGAAAGCACTTTGAGCAATCCTAAAGGTTGTCATGACAGTGACCCTGAGGAATGTGTATCCATGCATACATGAACAAGACTGATATATCATGTCGCCTCTGCAAAGGTTGCCTGTAACTGCTTTCGGCACCTATAGCAGTGTTCATGATACAGTCAAAATATATATCGTTTGACACATGCAGGATTTTGGACAAGTGCCATGCACTCATCAGATCCTACATGTCAACACTCAAATAATACTTGTCACATTAAATAACACCACCCGAATTGTACTTCTCATAGAATCTTCAACACTCCCCTAACCCTGATGGCGGGTTGACGACTTGTCGGTTCGGTTCACTTGGCGGTCCTGTCAGTTCGGCGGTTCACTTGATGACATCTCCTGGGACGGTTGGTTATGGTACTTTCATTTTGTGACAGTGCGAGTTGCGATGAGGTCAATTGACCGATTTGCAATGGTCGGATGCTGGTCATGGTCCATTTGGTGAACTCTTGGATCGCGAGTTTTGTGGCGGTCTTACTCAGCGCGTCGGCGACCATGTCGGCGGCTGGGACGAATTGGAGCGTCAGTGCGCCGCCGCGGACAAGCTCACGAAGATAATGGTTCCGGACATCGATGTGCTTCGTTCTCTCATTGATGGCTGTAGACTTTGACGTGGCGATGGCCGACATGTTTCAAAACAAGGGGGTGACGTGTTCTTGCAGGTTCTCCATCAATCCCCTGAGCCACGTAGATTTGCGGGCGGTTTAAGCGGCGGCGATAATTCGGCCTCAAAGCTCGATAGCGCGGTGATGCGCTGTCTGATGCTTTTCCACATGAGCATGCCGCCGAGGAAAATCCAGCAGAATCCAGTGGTGGATTCTCGGTCCGGTCGAGTCGCCCAGCTTGCGTCACAGAAGTCTGTAAGTGTTGGATCTCCATTGCCGAATTTGATCCCAAGGTGTTTCCTGCCAGCTAGGTATTGGAGCACACGTTTGGCGCCAATCAAGTGTGGTGAACGAGGTGCATGCAGGTGGCTGGACAGGCGTTGCACGGTGTGGGTGATGTCGGGTCTCGTGCAGACCATGAGGTAAACCAGTGATACTATCATTGCCCGATACTCCCCTTGGTCGGTAGATGGTTGGCTTTCGTCATGCCACAGGTCATTTTGGTAGACGACTTCGGGCGTGGCGACAGGGTGGCTTGTGGTCATTCTGAAGTGTTCGACTACATTTGCAGTGTACGCGTCTTGCGTCATGGTCACTGTGCTTCGATCGGGGCTGCGGGTCACACGGACTCCGAGCATGTAGTGAAGCGGTCTTTGGCGTTTCAGGTACATCTTCGTTGACAATTCTTGCATAATCTTATCCATCTGAGTTTGTGTAGGCACGGCCACGATAAAGTCATCGACGTACGCGCCCATGATTTCAATGTTGTCGCCTTCAAACCTGGTGAAGACCCATGGGTCATGTGGGCTCTGTTTTCAGTCCAGCCCTGTTATCATGGTCTTGCAGTGGACTTCCCACTCTTGTCCGCTTTGATTGAGGCCGTACAGGGCCATTTGGACCAGGGCTGCTTGACCAGGTGATGTTTCATGTCCTTCTGGTTCCGCTGCCCAAATGGGCTGTTCTAATCTTGCTTGGATGTATGCGTTGATAGCGGCTGCCTGTTCAATGACCATGGTGCGGGCGGTGGCGACGGCGCAGATCGCACGGACCGACGTCATTTTGATGACGTTGGATGATGACTCGTCGTAGTCAATGCCAGCAGTCTGGTTGAAGCCCTTGAGGACCCAACATGCCTTCCAACGAACGACATTTCCTTCGTCGTCTGTTTTGCGAGCGTATGTCCAGCGGCCGCCGATGATCTTGCGACCGGGTGGGGGCGTGCCGATGCTCCAGCACTTCAGTTTGGTCAACCGTGCCACTTCGGCCTCCTCGACCTCTTTCCTGTGGCGCCATTCTAGCGACGCCATTGCCTACTTGTGGCTGTTAGGGGTGGGGTGGAGTTGGATGGGGACGGCGGCGTAAGCAAAGTCCATTCCATTGACCTTGTACGTTGCTTGTTCCTCTCAGATCTCCTCTACCTAGTAGCCTTCTAGTGGAGCGTTCAAATACTGCGAGTTGGCGAAATTTGCGTACTGTGGGTTTAGGTTTTGGAGGCGGCTGCTGCGTCGGGGTGTTTGGTTTGGGTCGGGCATGCTCGGGGAGCGTGCCTTGAAGTGCGATTGTCGAGCGGTTGTTGGCGTGAACGTGGTGCTTGGCGGGGGCGGATGATGGTGTCGACAGCAAGGTCGACAGTGCGTCTGACGGTTTGGATAGCCGTTTTGTGGATGGACTGCGGCGTGGGGATTAGCGAGGTGAATCTCGAAGGTGCTGAGCTGGGTATGTTGCTGTCGTCGTCCGAGTCATCAACCTTTAACTGTTCTGGTAGGACTAGCGACCCGAAGAACTCGTTCTCAAGGAATTTGACATGGACTCCATGCGTGGTGCGCTGGTTTTCGACGTCGAACAGCTTGTAAGCTTTCATGTTGTCTGTGTATCCCAACATGATGCATAGCGTTGCTTTGGGGGCTAGCTTGTTACGTCGTTCGGGAGCCTTCACCATGTTGAAGCACTTGCATCCGAAGACGCGCATGTTGGCCAAGGTAGTTTGTGGCCACTGAACAGTTCGATTGGTGTCTTCCTGCAAGCTGTTGTTTGTAGGACAGTGTTCGATGGAATGTTCTTAGCATGGTGCTTCGATATTGCAACGTAGGGTCCACTTTTCGCTCTTGGATCAGGATCTTTTACACCAACACACTCATCTACATCTTGCTCAATGATAAACCGCTAGATCCCTTTGAACTTGGGACTGGATTGCACTAAGGTAACCCACTCCCACCTGCTCTTTTCGTTTTCTGTTCATGGAACCCACGCTCATTATCTCCGCCAACGCCTACCTATCCTCATCATTTTGGACACAACGCATACGCTCGTTTCTTTCGCAGATGATTGCACCGGTACCCTTCTTTGTTCTCCTTCAGTTTATCCGCGCTGCCTGCTTCCGACATTCTTGCTTCAACTCAACACGGTTCTACAACGAAGGCATTCCTGACCCAACAGCACTCAACGCCAAACTTCATGCATATAGCAAAGCCATTCCTGTCTCAACAGCTCTCGACGACAATATTCGTGCATACCTATGGCTTCACAATCAAACACACTTACGACCTGTTGATGGATGTGAAGGTGGCAAGCACGCACGGTTCTGCAACCTTCTACGACATGGTGACGTGACATACCAAGCTTTTCTACCCCGAGACACACCGACAAACCCCCGACACCTCAAACACGTAACAAATTGCAATGCAACATCTCTGAAAACTTACGAAATTCAGCATATACCCTCCGGCCACATCAACATACAAGACTCAAGTACATGCTCTCAAGATGAGCTGCGATTTTTCATTTCACCATACAACAGACCTCGTCACTACGACTACAGCCCTACTGCATCAAGAGGTGAGAGGAAATTTGGCTAAAATAGTCGCGGAAACCGCAGCTTCCGCGATCGGGTCCATCATTTCAAGAATTTATACTTAAAACTCGAAGACAACAACCTCAGCATCAGCAAGCGTCTTCGCCAGCCAATACCTCAACAGTTGCGACTCGGATACTTGACCATGCTGCAACACTACCTGGTAATATTGCAGCTCAGCCAAGCACAATCCACCACCCAACACTCAACTGTCAACTGCATCCGTCCCTACAATTTCACGATGTCGACATCCCGCTGCCAACACCTTCCTTCAATTGCCAGCACAAACACTACCATACCAAGCAGCCATTAGCAGAGTCAGCCCCGTCAACACCACTCAAAACATTCAAGCAATGTCGCCATCATTTCGCACACCACATCCACTGCGGCAGGGCGCACTGGAGTCGTCCGATTACCCTCTTGCAGTCAACGTTAGCTCTCACCCCCGTCAACCGCCGCGCAGAACAACCCTCTGCCAAATGCACGAAGACGAGAAAGCAGAAGCCACTCCACCCACTCCCACCAAAAGAAATTGCGCACGCCATCCTCCAAAACACGCTTGCATTCCACAGAACCGGTAGAGCCACAGGAAGACTAGGCTGCAGTCAATCGCAACCAACAACCAACGGCGCAATAACATCAGCCACAGCCCAAGACGTTCAGCAGCCCGCACGAGATCTAAGTCGCCGCCCAGTCCCTCTAGCGCCGCCAGCATCGAGAACTAAGTTTATTGCCCCGACTCGTGCACATATTCAAGCCCTAGCAGATGTCGCTGTCCTTCTATCGAGGGAACCATCTCTCTGGGGTTGGGTCTCATCACATACCTAGCTTCCACACTTCAACACCTCGTGGTTAGCATGCTTCTACCAGCGTCCTGTCACCGGAAGAATAGGCAATTCCTCAAACCAGCCGTCCGGCGTCTCCACACACACCTTTCATCGGACCCTTCAGCCACGTACTTGCTTCTAGACACTTAGTGGGATGCGCTCAAGATCGCCCTTCTCATCCAAGACATGCAAGATACTTACACCCAGTGGGACCTGCAACGAGAACCACTCCATCTCAAATCAAGGCGTTGAAGCCAAGTTCCTCATAAATTGGAGCTGATCAGTTGAAAAGTCACAAAACCTTAGATATATTGAATACTTCATGACGAAATAAAATCACACTACATTTCGCGCAGTGGTCGGATAAATACTCATTGCGTTTAAGCGCAATGTTTGGTCGATTCGAAAATCCCTGGCACTGAAAACTTTGAATTGCTAACAATGGACCTGATATTTTATCTACCCCACCCCCTGCTTTTTCTTCAAACCTGAAGAAAATATGAAGTAATTTACCAGCACACTACGATTTCGAAAGTGCTTTCGACATCTTTTCCGTCATTGGTTTTATAGCTGTGCAACAAATCCTGAAATTTGCAGAGCATTCTCATGATGTCTCATGATCTCGAGCTCCCGAGCTGCGGTGGCGCCCCAGGCCTTCATCTTGTTTTTGGCTGCCATGAACAGACGATCGTTGTTGGTTTCAATCTAAGAAGCATTGGAGGGATACCGCGCGTACTGGCGTAATCTTTTTCGTCACCACGGAGATTTTAAGTACTATTTTTTGTTTAATAATACAATCTATTATATTATTAAACAAAAAATAGTACATAAAATCTCCGTGGTGACGAAAAAGTGTAATCAAGCGCGTAATGGCAGCGTGGGAAGGGATGTCAACTTCACTCATCCGTCCGTCTTTCATTTGAAAGGCAATTCCTGATGCCCCTACTCTCACTGTTTTTCCGTTTCACAGTACAGACTCCCCCGCATTAGGAGACGGTTGCACGAAATCATTTTTCAGGGGTATTTTCTTATGACGAGTATTTAGTTACGAGGTGGCGTGTTGATACCTGATTGGCCGTGAAGGAACATATGTTCTTGCATGCATTGAGCTCTGATTGCAAAATGGACATCATATTCGAATTCAGGAGGGGGTTGATACCATCGCAACCTCCAGAAGACTGAACGCTCACCTCACCTCACACAACATATACATCCCATTACAAGTTAGCCATCTTGCTCGTCAACTCATTCACATCTTCGTCTAATATTTCTGTGTGGCGCCAACTTGCGATTGTCCTCTGTGACACCGCTTGCCATACCTCCTTGGCCCACTGGAGTGCATCGAGAAGACTGATTTTATGCAGCTTGTTGACATGAGACGAAGAGTTCTCCTTGTCTGCTTCGTCCAAAGTATCAACCAATTCGTCAAACCGCCTCACCAGATAGTCTGCACGCAGAGCATTGATCTTGCTTTTGAATGCTTGTATGACACCGGCATCTTGAGGCTGTAGAAATACCGTTGTATTGAGAGGAAGCATGCATACCTTCATTTGTCAACTGTCCATCATAACGGTGGGAAGATGCATTGTCGAGAAGCATAAGCACGCGCATTTTCCTGTTGAAGTCTTGGATCCACGTCGAGAACACGTCACCCATCACCCAACCCTTCCTTGGGGCCTCATACTCAAACCCCAGTTGTTCGGCACTTCGTCCGCTAAAACAACGCGGCTGCTTCGCGGTGCCAACAAACAGCAACGGCCACTGACTGCTCCCGTCAGCATTGCTGGTAACGGCGACTGTGATCCTCTTCTTGACCTTTTTACGCCCAGGGATCGGCTGAGCGGAAATTGCCATGGTCTGCGACGCACAGTAGAAGTAAGCTGTCTCGTCCATGTTGTAAATGTTCGACTTGTCGTAACCTCTTGTGGCTTCGCGAAGTAGAGCACGACCCTCGTCGACGGCCTGTGGACTGACTGATGCAGCTTCCCCCAATAACCGCCGTGACTTCAAGTTGTGCCGGTTTTGGAATCGATGTAGCCATCCTTTTGAAAACGAAGCGGACGCGAGGAGAGCGCTGCCCACGTTGTCCATGTTGTTTCGCAGTTGGCGGAGCATTGTGTCACGTATCGACATCGCCTTGGCCCGAATGGTAGGTCCGTTTACAATCGGGACATGCCACGTCTCACATTTCTGGATCCACGACCAGAGTTGCTGTTCGAGTTGGGGTAGATGGGGCTGGTGCGCTGTTTTGT